CAAAGGCTGTGAGTTTAAAAAACATCTGAGTGATTCACCTGCAATCAAAGGCTCCGATCGGAAGGCAGCAGGGGTATGGCAGAGGAGCTGCTTTCAAGCCTTTGGAAAATATATCCAATCCAACTTCTGTGTTTGTTCGAGAGTGAGTGAGTGAGAGAGGGATCCAAGTTCTCTGTGTGCGTGTATCTGTTTGAGAGAGGGGGAAGGAGGGAGAGAGGGAGGAAGGAAGGGGAGGGAGAAGAAAAAGAATGGGAAAACTTATTTTGCAAGGAGGAAAAATCCTGTCGCTTTAAATCGAAACCGAGCATGCCTGGCTGTGGAATTCTGGGAGTTGAAGTCCACAAGTCTAAAAAGCTGCCTCACCAGCCATAAAACTCACCGCACGTCACTGAACTATAGACAGTTTGGAAGAGTAGTGGCTTTCTCAATATAGGGAAGTCTCGTGCAGGTATTGATGAGATAGGTAGAATAGTAATAGCACTTAGACTTATATACACAGTCATAATGTTTACAGCACTCTCTGATATGCACTTTCTAATATAGTTGCATATTTTATATCATGATTAAAATTTTAAAATATGAACTTACAATCTGATGATCTTTTGTAACATTTAGTTTTTGTATATCTCGAGCCTTTTGATTCAGATCTTGTACTTGCATCTGCATTTTTCGATGTTCCCATTCCAGCTGAAATATCCCTTTACGGAAATCTTTACTTTCTACCATACTGGCAATCTTTTTTTGTCCTTGAGCCTTGAAAAAAAGAAATATTTCTTCGTGCAATGTATCATTTTAAAATTGCATTCTGATAACAGATGAGATTTCATAAAACTGAAGGTAAAATGGCAAAGTTAACTCTTCAAATGAACAACATTTGTGAGCTATTTGAATATGATAGATTTAAAAGCAAAGACAGCCACATTGAATAAGAAAGAAAAATCATTGAGGCTATATGCTCACTGGTAATTTAGTTAAGTGTTAGAAGAATTACACTAGTTGGGGCATGTAATATGTGATAAGAGAATTAAAATAAGGTTGATTATGTCACTTAAAAAACTATAATTGTATTTAATTAGAAGTTGTAATGCAAAGAAAATAACTTTTCATATAGGTGATATGCAGAGGCTTTATCTTTAATATCATTATCTTTTTTCTTTGAAAAAAGAAAGATTGTTACCCAGATCATGCTGTTTAGCTCTTCAATAATAGTCCTGTTGATCAGAATAGCATCTGTGTAATCTGGTATTAAGTTGGTGCCTTCTAGTTCCACTTGTCCTTGTTTAAAAAGAAACTGGACCATCAAATCTAATTGAAATCTCATTTTCTGCTCCCGAAGCCTAGAGTTATATTTTTAAAAATAATATAACTTATGTTAACATTTTACCATGATTAGGAAAAAACCTTATCTAGATTATCTTATGTACTGATTTATCTAACTATACAGGTAATCCTCAAGTTATGTCCATTTTGCAACTGTTCAAAATTATGATATTGAAAAAGTAGTCTTAACAACCAGTCCTCACATTTATAACTGGCACAGTGTTCCTATCATCAAATTACCAAAATTTAAGCATTTGGTTGCTGGCCCACATTTATGATCATTCCATGATCACGTTCTCCTGCCTTGCATGAACTCCATCCCCCACCTGCTTCTCTCCATCTCTGCCCTTTGGCACAACACAGCCAAGAGAAAGAGGCTGCTGTATTCTGCTGCCTACTTGTGGCCCTCTTGCCACCCCAACTGACCTTTGTTTTCTTCTTTGCTTTACTTCCCCTCTGCAGGACTTGGTGACACTGGCTGGCCTCAAGCTCCAAGGTTCAGGGGCTCTGTTGGCTTTGGCCTCACTTTCTTTTCTGACCTCTCCTGGTTGCTGCCTCTATGGGCACTGACCTCCTGGCAGGCCTGCCCCACTCCAGCAGTCTTAGCTTGAGACAGCCAGTGTTAGCAAATCCAGCAGAAGTGAGGTAAAAAAAGACAACAACTATCAGTTGGAAGCAGTGGGGTGGTGAGAAGAAGATGAGGGACCACATCTGAGCCACTCTGTGGGGTAGTGGTGGAGAGCCCCATGAGTTTTCCCCCCAAAGGTGCGCTCATTAGCACCAGTGCATGGCTATGCTAGCACTTGACTTTCACCTACATAGTTTCTTTGGGACTGCCGGGGCATCAGCAATGACCATGGCAACGACACTGAAACTGAGGAGCAAGAGTGCTTTCCCCAACAACCATGTTTCCAGGCAGCGGGAGCATGTGTTCATTGCCATGGTCCCTTCTTCTCTCGTGTGCCTTCCTCTTTCCTACCACTACCTATGGTACTTGCAAGACAGGGAGTCATGTCCCTTCCTGCTCCCAGAGCCACAAGAGAAGACTGCATCTGCAGAGGGAGCTGTCTCAACCCAACTGCCCTCTGGGCTGCTTGCTTGAAGAATTCAAAGAGGGTAGATAAAGGCCAGGTGAAGGAGAATAGTCAATTCCAAAACTGGTACCATTTCTGCATTCAGTCCAATGTTGGGCCTTTTCCATCCTGTGCCTGCCAGGTGTGTGGGGAAGAGAATGGAAGAGAATTGGCTCTTTTACTAGCCTGTGCCTGGTGATTCATCTGAAGACAGTTCCTTCCACTAAAAGGCTTTCTGACCTGCTGGGTGGTGGCAGTAGAATATAGCAGTCTTTTCATCTCAGTCATGGTGTGCAGTGCAACAGGCAAAGATGGGGGAGAGATAGGCAAGTGGGAGGAGTTAAAGCAGAGACAGTTCATATAGGTAGAAGAAGCATGAGGTCCTCATCTAATGATCATATTGTTCCCACTTAATGATCACAATTGGGACCACCAAAATTGCTGTTGCAGTCATGTGGTGCTTCACTTAATGACCAAGCACCAGTTCCAATTAGCATCATAACTCAAGGACTGTCTGCACTGGGAAAAAGTAATCTTTTAATCTGATGGGTTCTGCATACTGTAAGGTAAGAATGACTCATAGATGCTTCCTTTTCAGAGGACAATTTTTCCATTGTCTGTGCTAATGTTGAATAAAGAACATGATTAACAATTATAATGTTTTTAGACTTTTAGCTTTTCTCCATAACAAAAAGGCCCCTTACACTTTGGATACTGTAGGTAGGTTTATTTAGTTAAGATTACTACAACTATATTATTATAGTATACTGTAGTATATATTGTCATGAGATAGTATACATGAGTTCAATAATAATTAATATACGCTTTTATAATATAAAAGAAAAAAGCAAACTTACAAATTGATCTCAGCAAAAACATGTTCAATGTCTTTCCGCAGCTGTTCATCATCTTCCATTCTTTTTTGAAGGAAAGTTTGCATCTCTGCTAGTGTCAGTACTTTTTGCTTCACCTTTACAAAAAAGAAAATAACCTTTATTTTAGATTACTACTTTCAAATCACTTTAAATAGTTTTTTTTACATTATTTACATAGAGAGGCTGATAAAACATTTGAGACCCATGAAAATAACAAACCACTTCTTGCAAAATGAAAACTAGAAAGGATTTTAAAAGCAGCCACCTTCCTATGCATGATTGGGACACTGTGTGGTTCTCATTAGCTCAGTTCTGAGCGAATTATTTATTTGTACAAAATATAAAGGTCAAATTTGATTTTAAATAATGAAATCTTATACATACTTGCTGTTCACTTTCTACTTTCGCTCGCCTAGCTGCACAAAAGCGTTCCCAGTTACTGATGTCAAGCCCCTCAGGTCTGTTTTCAGGATTGTCCATTTCATCAATTGCTTTCATTAAATGGGCGAGAGCATCCTGATACATTTTGGCAGAGCCTGGCCGTTCCCCATATGGGTTTGCAGTATCTGTTTGTACTTTCATCTTCAAAGCCCTTCCATTATTGAACACAACAGGCAAAGAAAAAATGTAATTTCTCCTGTGACATGCTACATATTCAACAGAAAAACTTGTATATCACTAGCTTAATTTTGTCTTTAAAAATCTCTGTACTGTGTATTAACTAGCATTTTTTTTAAAAAAAACTTTGTATTTAATTTCTGAAGTTACTGATGATGGGCACAAGAGCCAAGGTGGCGCAGTGGTTAAATGCAGCACTGCAGGCTACTGCTAGATCAGCAGTTCAGCGGTTCAAATCTCACCGGCTCAGGGTTGACTCAGCCTTCCATCCTTCCGAGGTGGGTAAAATGAGGACCCAGATTGTTGGGGGCAATATGCTGACTCTCTGTAAACCGCTTAGAGAGGGCTGAAAGCCCTATGAAGCGGTATATAAGTCTACTGCTATTGCTATTGATGATGTTAACTAGAATGGGTAATGAAACATCTGGAAGAAAACAAGCAAGCTCAGAGAGCACTAAAGACCCCTAATGTCAACCTTGAGTTACAAATATTCTCTTTTATTATTTAATTTCTATATATAGACCAGGAGGAAGGTTTGCAGTCTTCCTTAATTTAAACAGAGATTATTTGGCTCTGTGTTACTGTCATTTAGACAGTATATTGTAGGTGTTCTTTGTAGACCATGTGTTATTTTGTTCTGTGGTTATGTAGCATATCATATTTTGCTCTATATCATATTCAATTTATTTTAAAAAATATGTTGTAAAAGAAAAAGGAGTGTGGCAGGCTGAAAGAGAGACTTTAATGATAACACTAGTAACTGGCTGCCACTTCATCTCATTTAACAGTGATTGCTTCATTGGTATTTTTCTTGTCATGTAAATGCCCTTAGAATTGAAAAATGAACTAATTTAATAAGCTTCAACGATTTTCAGTTTTTTCAGATACTATACAACTTCATTTTTTGCTTATAAGATTATGCCTGTAAGAGGAAATTCATAGATTTTCAGAAAATGATTGAACTAATGAAATTTTTCTACCTTGGTCGACGTTTATAAAGTTTGAATAGTTGATCAACATGATGAGTTTGAAGATCTGAAAATTCCTTTCTAAAACCACGTTCCATAACCTTTTGGTCAGGGGGAAAACAGAAGTTACCTAAGTGTCAGAGTTTATTATACCAATTTCCAGTTCTGCTGCACATAATGATTACATTTACAGAAAATGAGCTTTAAATTAAGGAATGTTGAAATTTATTTCATTGTCATATTCACTTTGCAAAGTATTAGTTGACTTCAAGGTGACATGGCAAGATCTTTCCAAAATAAGCAGCATACATAAAGAATTGAATGAGAAAGTGTGGTCAAGCCAGCTTAATCAAAGCCCTGACCCTTTGTAGCTTTGTGCAACATTGATGCACATACAGAAAAGTCAGGGCTTCAGTTATAGTGTTACGAATGTTATCTTCATTTTTGAGCTCCCTTAATGCTGTTGCACTTGTTGGCTGCATTTTTTTTGTAGGCAAAACAATAGTCAAGATGGGAGTTGTGTGATTGAAGTCCTATCAACCTGTATGTGTAGACAACATCATGCTAAGTACAAAATGGGGAGAGATTCAATTGCAGTCCTAACCAACATCTTGATTTTTTTTGCCATATAACCTACTTTACAGATGCTGCTGTCTTGCCCTTAGAACTGGATCCTTGAAAGAAGACAGAACCATAATGATAGTGATGTCTCACTGGTTTAAAGAAAGAAAGAAATGACTGCTAGTTGGATCTTTTGGCTTATGAAGTAGGTTATTTATCCATGCTATGACAAAACAATCTCCGAGACTATTATTGCTGTGACCCGGCAACAGCCAGCGGAACTGGCAGCAGAGTCGGACAGAAAGGAGGTTGGGGAGGAACATGGGCCAGTCCTGGGGGCTGAGGAAAACTCAGTCAAGGGCTCTGCATCGGAGGCAGAGGGGGAGCTAGACAGCAGTGAGGTAGAGGAACAGCTTGAGCCTGTTCCCAGTGTACGCATGCACAGAGCTGCAAAAAGACAAGAACAACTAAGAAAGCAGGGTTGACTTAGGAGTAAAGCCACATCTCTGAAAGTGAAAGGCCTCTCCCATAGAAAACAAAAGAGCGAACAGGGAATGGGCTTTTGCAGAAAACAATTTGTTCATTTGGTCATTTCAAGAGTGAAAAGTTTTGTTTGTGATTATAAGAAACTCTGTGCCAAGTTTTGCCTTGCCCTGCATTTGGAAACTAGTTATTTGGCAGCTCTCTAAATGAGATAAGGTCCATGTTGATAAACATTCCTCTGAAGACTGTTTGCTAAGCCTTGCGGACTGTGAATGAAAGGAATTCACAATTGTGTAAATAAAAGGGTTTTTGCTGGGACCAAGACTATGCTTCTTGCTTTTTAAGGAAGCCTGGGTCAGAACAATTATGTCCACTAATAATGAGCAATTACTTCAATATTTAAATAAAATATCTACATAAACAATCCCAAATTAAACTGGAAGTTGTTAATTATCTAGCTTAGTCTAATCCATTAATCAAATTCAATAAACTTCAATAATTCAGTAATATTAAATGCCACAGATTCAGATGAAAAGCTGTGTTAATCTAGACTGGTGCTTCTCAACCTTGGCAGCTTGAAGATGTGTGGCTAAAGAATTATGGAAGTTGAAGTCCATAAATCTTCAATTTGCCAAGGTTGAAAAACATTGATCTAGAGCAGTGATGGGTTTCAAAAAATTTTGGAACCTCTTCTGTAAGTGTGGCCTGCTTTCCGGGTCCACTGGTGGAACCTCTTCTAACCGGTTTGGTAGATTTGACAAACCGGTTCTACCAAATAGGTGTGAACTGGTAGGAACCCACCTCTGATCTAGAGTTTAAAGTCTTACTTTGTCTTCAGCAATTAATATGTCGTAGGCTTCTCTAAAAGCATCCACTTCTGCTTTAGCTGTCTTTACTGCTTCACTGGATATTGCCTAGCAAAATAAACAAGTTGGGTATGATTGCCTGTCATTGGAACATAAGATGTTAAATCACGTTAGCACAATTAGACGGGTGATTATATGCAGGAAACATCCCCACCCCCACCCGACTAGCTTTATTGAGTTCAGCATGTCCCTGGCCTCATTCAGAAATGTAAGACATTTTCTTAATCACATGAAAAACTACAAACAAGCAAAACCTATTTTATCTTAGTGGTATGTGAACTTTTGTGAAATGTAAGGGATATTTATAAAGAATTATTGATGATATTTTCAAGAAGTTGAGGAAATTTTATAAGATAATTATTTGCTGAATGGGCCACTTTGACTCTAAAAGGGCAGGTGTCATGAGAAATAAATATTTTCTCAACATCTCCCTCCCCCCCCACGCCTCACATGTTCTTGCCTTTTCCTTCCTTTTTTTATTAAGGTGGTGATGGAGTGCAACTTCTCTTGAGGTCAGCTCTTCATCCAAAAGCAGTGAGAAGAGGAGGTTAGTTATTTTGAGTTCTTCCTAGTAAAAGGTTTGAAAAGGGAACAAACAGTAAGTGCTGCTTATATGGAAGCAAGGATGATAAATATTATTCAAACTCACCTGGTATATAACCATTTCACAGTGGACTTTTTTGTCAAAGAGCCTGTTCAGGATTTCATCAAATCCTTGAGTATTTTCCTGAATTGAACCCTGAAGCTTTTTCAGTTCAGTTTCTAGAATCTGTGAAAAGAAAAGGTGCAGTGTCTTTATATATGACAATTTTAATGGCAGGTAAGAATAATACATAAGAAATGACTTTTCAATCCTAATAATCTCTTTTTATATTTTTCCTAGACAATTATGTTTGCAAGATGGAAATATGGAAATTAAAAGACCAAAAAGAATTATAGATGTGAAGTTTATGAGCCAGAGTGACTGAAAAATTCATCAGCTGCTATCTCTCACCACTCTATAATCAGAGGAAGCTGAAAAGGTCCTGAGCAAACAAAGAGGAGAATTGGAATCATCCATCTAACTTGCTGCCAATTTAACTATTTATTTAGCAGCTCATTTTCACTCAGTTAATGAAACATATTTTGAGAAAAAAAGTTTTCCAGTGGCTTTAATTTCTTTGAGAATTTCCTTGTAAACTCTCCTGTTTTCTCTTCCAGTATGTGAAAAAGCTTTATATAAAAATAAAGCCACTATATAAAGCCAATTTGATCTAGTGATTAAGACACCAGGTTAGAAAGTGGAAGACTGTGAGTTCAAGTCTCACCTTAACTATGAAAGTTAGCTGGGTGACCTTGAGCTAATTACCCTCTCTTAGCCCAATTCACCTCACAGTGTTGTTGTATGGAAAATAGGAGAAGAAAGATGTGTTAGAGATGTTCTTGAGTTAATTGTAAAAATAATAAAGGCAGGATAGAAATAAAAATAAACAAATATCCCCAATAGTTGCAATCTGATTTAAATATATCAGTTTCTGATTTAATTAAAGAAATTGGATTGGCATATCAACCTAAGATGAACTGATGGATGTCCAATGACTATGGTTTAGTTCAGATAATGCATTAATTCCAGCCAAACAAACTACGTATAATTAAGACCTAATATGGTCGGAATTAATACCAAGCTATTAATAATATAAAAGAAAAGTCCCTTCATCAAAACTCAGGTTTGTAAATGTACTTTATTAATTTAATGACATTAAGAAAAACTTAGAGAAAAGCTACTCTTAGTTTCTTAGTCATTTAAGTTGAATGAAAATTTAATTTGTTAAGATAATTGGTCCACTAGTTTCTTGTGAATTGTACATTATAAAAGAATAGCACTTAGAAAATAATAAAAGTAAACAACTAAGGTGGCATGTTGCTGACATCTAATTCTGTCTATGGCAGAAAAAGAAATTAAACTGAATACAGGAAAACTGACATGATCTTTGTCTTATGAGGGAAAGTGAAGACTGCCTCATTCTTGCTTAGACAAATTACTCATTCCTATATACTTAACATTTTGAATATAAAATGTAATTATTTTTAAATGTGGCAATGGAATATTTGGAAAAGAGATTAAATTGGTCATATTTCACTATGTTTGATTTAAAGTAGTCAGGAAGGCTTTCCTAATAAAAAATGTTCCACCCTTTAATGAAAGAGAAGCTTAATAATCTTTCTTTGTATCTGTTTACCTTTCGATGTTTTTCTCTTTCTTCATTCAGTTCCTTAACCTTCTTTTCATACTCCTTATATATTTTTCTTTCTTCTTCACTCCAAAGGGCTTCTTCTTTTGATACAAATGGAGGTGGTGGAATTTCCTGAGTATATCAAAGAAAGCATTTCAGAAACAACAGTGGACATTGAATATTTGCAAAAACTACAAGATTTAATTAAGTTCCAGAATGTATTTTCAAATGATATTCAACAATGCATCCATCTTCTATGTAATATGAGAATAACATGCTTTCCAATCCCTCTTTGGTATCTGTTGAATTCTATAGAAAGCCAATTTTTAACAGCTGAACTTGTTTAAAATAACTTTAAAAATAAATGTTTGTAACCTTTTAAAATGTTGGGTTCTTTGCATTTTGAAAACTCCAATTCGTTATGACAGGGTCATGGAATCAGAGCATGAAATCTCTCATATAATGTACTTTGTGATACAATTGGTCCTAATGATACTTTGGAAGTACATTGTTGCCTGTCACCCTTACGACTCTGACAATACTTAAGGGGCAGGTTAGTCAGCTTCTTCTTCTGTGGAAGCAAGTAATAATATACACGTTGCTGTGTTCTTCAGGATTGTTACAAGTTCAACACAGGATATTTCTGATATATGTGCTGCTAGCACACTTCTATGAATTACATGTGGCAATTGCAGCTTTTGAAATTCTATGGATGATTTAGGAATAGTGATGGTGGTGGACATGTGTCCCCATTCCTTTGTTTCCCAGAGATGCATCTGTTGATTATAGTTCTTAAAATGTTGTAGTTTATATGATTACCCTCTCCCCTGTACAGTTCCTACCACTATGCAATTAGCCCGAATTTCTACAGCATCAGAAAAAAAAATCACCAAATCAAACAGTTAATTTTTCATTTGGATTATGCAGGATTGAGGTAATGTTAAGATATTCACAGCTGTGTTCTTCTCAAGGTACCTTAAGAACATACAGTGTCCATATTGCTTTAACTGTTAGTCTGGAGGGAGTAGTAGGTTGCACTTATTGCCTAAGCCATTGGGAATAACTTCCTCAGTTCTGTAAGTTCTGTGTTTTATGACCTTTACTCTTTATAATTCAGAATGTTTGCTGACATTCTTATTTTTTATTCATCCATTCATTTTATTGTATTATTTTTATTATTTTGTATGTAAGAACATGTACTCTAATATATGTGGACACCTGTGGATGACATGCTTGTAAATTTAATATTTATTGCATGGTTTAATAACTCTGTTACCTACATACTGAAATTCTTTATTTTTTTAATTCTGTGTGTGCAAACTCAGCAATCTTTCCCTCATTCTTTGTCTTTTACATGCATTTTTCTGTAAATCTTCTTTCTATTATCTTCCTCCTTGCCTGCCTATTGTCCTACCTAAATTTTTCAATTGCGTCTCTTTTGATCAGAGATAACCTTTGGGGACACACACTGATAATGAATATACATTACATTAGTTGTTAATCACATGAAATCTTTATGATTTAATACAAACATAACTCACCATCTTCAAAATATCTTCCTTTTTTATTTCAAGGACACCATTCATCATGTCCATAAGGCCACGTTCTCTTGCATTGTCACTCTGAAGAATGGCATAATAAAAGATTATGAGAAAGATTAGAGAAAGGATCAAACTAGAAAAACCATGGAAAATAAGGCTCTGTCACATCAGGCTACCTGGGAAGCAAGTCGTCTTTTATATTCAATCCGAGCCATGATTTTGTTTTTTGCCTTCTGCACTGGAGTTAAGTACTTTTCTACTTTAATCTGTGGGAACAAAAGATGAAGTTTGGCTTCTTCTATATGCAAGTAATGCACATTTTTCCTAACAAGCTCCCCAGTACAATTTTCTTAAAATTTTTACTTAATAACAAACATGGATTCTTTTAAGCCATGAGTACCCTACAAGATTTAAATACTGGAATTCCACAATGAGAGAGCATACTTAAGATTGTAGAATAAGTTAATAATTGTGTTATCCTGGTTTAAAGATTACTTTTATACATGCAGTACGACTATTATATATTAGTGTAATTGGAAAGAAAGGTTTGTCGCTATCTTAATAATGTTTTAATTATTAATAAGTTTTTATATGAGCCACATAAATGTGTAATGTTTTAACTTTTCTAGCTAAGTAAACAACTAGTATCTCATAAGATTAAAAACCAAGATAGAAAATATTAAAAACCATAACAAAAACTATCAGTTTAAACAGGCAACCCTATGCTCTGTACATTTCGCTTGTCACCCAAGAAGCTTTTTCAACTGTGAGAGACAAAGAAGCTTCTTGGATGAGAAGTAAAACATCTTCAAACAAGCAAGCCCAGTTGCCTTTTGAAAAAGCAACTTTGGGACAACTACGACATGGATGACTGAAAATCTCCATAGACAATTAACATTGCTATACACCCAGCATGGCGAACCTATGGCACGCGTGCCACAGGTGGCACGTGGAGCCATTTGTCAATGGCACGTGAGCCATTGCCCTGTCAGCTGAATTCATTCTTTTTAAAGGCATTTTTCGCCCTCCCCAGGCTCCAGAGGCTTTATAGGAGCCTGGGGTGGGCGAAAAGAGCCCCCCGGATGCTCTCCGGAGGCTTCAGGAGCTTCCCTGAAGCCTCCAGAGCGCAAAACGGCCCTATGGGCAAACAGGAAGTTAAGGAACAGACTTCCAGTTTGCTCGGAGGGTCTGTTTAACCCCTCCGGAGGCTTCAGGGACCTTCAGGAGGCTTCCCTGAAGCCTCTGGAGGACTAAAAACTACCCTACAAGCAAAAAGTGACTTCCAGTTTGCTCGGAGGGTCATTTTTTGCCCTTTGAGGGCTTCAGGGAAGCCTCCTGAAGGTCCCTGAAGCCTCCGGAGGGCCTCGGGGGGGGCAGGGGAGGCTGCTTTTGCCCTCCCCAGGCCCCTATAAAGCCTCTGGAGCCTGGGGAGGGTGAAAAAAGCATTGAAAAATGGGGAACACCTCTCATGCATGCATGCACACTGGGGGGGGGTCATGCATTGCATTATGGGTAGGGCAAGCCCACACAGGACCCCCCTCTACTCCCCACTAAGCCAAAAAAGGTTCGCCATCACTGCTATATACATTCATTCTATCAAGTGAGAAGCATTAGGGATCTCAAATACCTGACCTCTGATTCTTGAACCACCAGTGCTCGCTCTGGTTTCTCATTGTCTGTAAGAGTTGGCACCCAGATTTCTTCCTTAATATCAAGCTGGTTAAAGATCTGTGATATTCTTATGTTCTTCTCTTTCACACGTGCAATTTCCAGCTCTTTCATTCGTGCGACTGAATCAAAATCCTTATTAAAAGATCTCTTTATGTTATAGATGATGTCCTGAGGTATCAAGGATTTTATGGCAGTATTACAAGCAAATAGTATATAGTAATATTGCATGTGAAATAACTGAGTTTCTTAAGTGACCTCAGTTTAAAACTGCTTGCAATTCTGACCATTGGTCTCTAAAGATTCTACATTGATTTCATTGTTGAAGCTTTCTCTCCTGAAAACATGACATGGACATCCAAATGTGGCAACACACAAATTCCAGAACACTTAAATATGATTTGTGTAAAACCCAATTTATAACTACCTGAGTTATTGCTCAGTTATTCTTGCTATAAGATATAGAATACTTTACAAGAGCAATCCTGCCTATGTATAGTGGAATAAATAAACAGATATGACAAACTTACCCGTAGCAATATAATTTGACTTATTTTCTCCTCTCTAGTGTGCAGTTCCAGTTGGTTATATAAAAGAGATGTGTTCCCACCATACGTTGCGCTCAGACTCCCAACCAGAGCATCTATTTTTTTTTCTTCTTCTCCTTCTTCTGTCTTTTCCCCTTCCTCTTTAACGCCTGAAGGTTGGGCATCAAATTCCACAATCTTTTTTCGAAGCTGAGTGAAATATATAGAGAGAGAGCGAGAATGGAAGCAGTGAGCTTCCTCCCATATTTGGGCATACCAGGGGGTTGTGACACTAATTACATACATACATACATACATACATACGTACGTACGTATGTATGTATGTATGTATGTATGTATGTATGTAATTAGTGTCACAACTTATAT